CAGTCGACTTCCTTCTTACAACTTACTTAACTACCACGACTACCACGACTACCACGACTACCACTCAACACTGCCACTAGTACTTATCTTTCATTACCACCATCACTACCCATCCCTCTCTTGTCACGAACATCATTATCCAACTACCCATCACTCCACCTACCCATCACCACCGCGACCCATCACTTCACCTACCCATCACCACCTACCCATCACTCCACCTACCCATCACCACTGCTACCCATCACTCCACCTACCCATCACCATCGCTCCACCTACCCATCACCACCGCTACCCCATCACTACCCCCATCACCACCACTACCCATCACCACCACTACCCATCACTCCACCTACCCATCACCACCACTACGCATCACTACCCCATCACCACCCATCACCACTATCTCAAAAGAAAACCCTCAAGCCAAGACCTAATCAGCCTACCTGAATACCACCTGTCCCTACATGCGTATTAGTCGCTTTCATCAGCCAATGGGCAATTACACGTAGCTATGCAGTTAACGGGGACGACCTATTATCGGGTGTCCCTTGGTATTCAGGCGCCATTATCCATTACGTCGGACGGCTCTTGCTAAGATCTAATGGTAAATGGGAAGGGAAGGGATGTTATGTATGTGGCATGGCGTGAGTGCCGGGGAATGGGGTGACGCGCTTACAGGTAATGGGGGATGGTGATGGGTTGTGGCGGGGAGAATGGTGGTGATGTGAAGGGGTGGTGTGGTAGTAGTGGTGTGTTGGTGGTGTGGTAGAGATAGTGGTGAATTTGTGGTGGTGTTGGTGATGTATTGTTGGTGTGATGGTGATGGTGTCTTGGTGAGCTTCATTACCTTACACTTATTGGGGTTGAACTCTTAATAGCCATTAGTCAGCCCAATACAGGAGTTTGTCAAAGTCTTCCTTCAATTCTCCGCATTTATCCGTACCAATAAGACAGGAAAAAAGAAACGGGTAAATATGATAGCAAAATGAGACCGGTAAATAAGATAGCAATAAGAGATGAGGAAATAAAATACCAATAACATACACGAAAATACGAGAGCGGTACGAAAGGACTAATCATTTACAAACATGTCAGATATTTCAGTCTGACGAAATTCGGACAGGAAAAATTATGTATGGAAATGGGGCAATATCCCGCTCCGCCTGCAGAGGGAGAAGGGGCAGAACGTGCTAAAGGGTAAGGGAGAGGGGTGAGAGAGAGAGAGAGAGAGAGAGAGAGAGAGAGAGAGAGAGAGAGAGAGAGAGAGAGAGAGAGAGAGAGAGAGAAAGAGGGAGACGGAAAAAAAATTAAATGAGGGAGATCGAAACAGTAGAAAACTGAGGAAAGGGGTCACTGAAGGGATAATGGACGAGGAATGAAAGAGAGAGAGAGAGAGAGAGAGAGAGAGAGAGAGAGAGAGAGAGAGAGGAGGAAAAGATACAAAAAAAGATATGGGGGATTGGAGGAGACGAGAGAGGAGGTTTGTAAGATAAATCAGGGAAGAAGTGTATCGACGGTGATACAGTGTAGCTACAGTGTCCGCCTGAGTGGATCATGGCAGTGTGCCGGACACTGTTACCAAGTGTGTGTCGGCAGTGGTGCCGACACCGGCACAGTAGTCACGACCTTGGCAAGGGCAGCATATCTCCCAAGTGTTATTTTACCTCAATGGACCAGAATTTTCGCCCCTTGCGTTGTAAGTGAGATCATATTAATCACATTCTCTAAGCTTCCCAAATGACTCAGTTTCTAAACTCTTCAAATCTCGTTTTTTTATGCTCCCCTAATCTCATTTTCCAACTCCCTTCCAATCTCATGTTCTAAACATCCCGAGATATAAGATAACATTCTCATATCTTATAACATGATGGCTAAACGATCAAAATTTCGACACAGTCTTTCAAACTGAATTTGAGACAGAAGCATCTTTAACTTTTTATGGTATATATTCCTCTCGTATTCCCCACCGCCATGCAACCCTGACTTTGCTTTTGGGGGCCTGAGCAGGTACAGTCCCAAGGCTGTTTTGAACTGCCAGATTTGTGTTTTTTGAGGGAAGATGAGTTCCCTAGACCAGAAGTCCCCAAACTGCGGTACGCTACGAGATGAAAAAAAAATATTTTGTTGATTGATAAAGATTAAGCCACCCAAGAGGTGGCACGGGCATGAATAGCCCGTAAATATATATTTTGTTGCACCAGCTTTATACACCGCATGCCCTTGCCACAACCTGCGTTTGCAAGACAGGTTTTTAAAACACTCAAATTACGGAGAGCGAAGCACAGAGCACACATGAGGGTGGAGAACGATGCGTGTCTGGCACTTAGAAATATCCCGTCTAGTGCTGACACCCTGTACAGCCCAACCTGTCCTCCTACAAAGAACGTCGCTCTTCGATCGTATGCTTTACATAAGGCAAAAAATTGTCGTGCTAGAAAATGAAAGCGGCTCGCGAAAGTGACGGACTGTCCCGTTTTCTGTTTTGGGTCCTCAGATTCGAGCGGACACTTTAAGTTGACCGCTTTACCAGGACGGGCTGGTAGGCCTATCCATGAAAGGAATTGTCCTAGTGGTTGTTTTTTGTTTAGTTGTGACGTTTTATGCTAAGATAAATGTGATATATTTTTATTTTCTGGTGGTGGCAGTAACGACTTTAAATATTGTGAATATAGTTCGATAATATTTTTGTCTAACGGGGGGAGGGGGAGGGGGGGGGGTTCCTTCGACTGGGGCAACAACTTGATCACGCTTAAGAGGCCCTTGATGTGATAAAGTCTGGGAATCACTAGCCTAAATCAGGGCCAGTATTCATCAAGCATTTATGCAACAACATAGGAAACATATTCATCTTTCCTCATCACCCACAAGGCTGTCAAAAGGAGTGACCCAGCAGCGTTAAACAAATTACTAATCAGCATAAAATAATTGCACAATAATATAAAGTAAGGCTGGAAGAATATTTGTTAAGTATCCGAAGGCTTTATTACTAATGTGAGGTTGAGCTCTAGTCAAAGGCCCTACTTTACTCGGCTCTTACCTTCACACAACCCACCAATAAGGCAAGATGCGTCAGCTTAAGGTACATGCCAGTTGAAGCTGGTGCATCGATGTGTTCCATTTATCAGCTTAATATGATATAACCGGCATCATCAACGGAGAATTTGTGTTTGATGATATGATGGTAAAAAGCATCGAGCATTCAGTAGAACTTCGGTTTCAACTCCTTTTGACCATGTCGAAGCTCAGTCGATTAAGGCAGCGTCTGGGATGCTCTCGGACGCAGGTTCGAATCCTCGTCACGGCCCCTGTGGATTTGTTAATGGTTAAAAGCACACTGTTCTTACTCCTGGGAGCGTCTGAGGTGTTAAACTGGAGACTTGCACACCACCTCTGCCACTCACTCGCCGTCTTGCTCCCATGTAAACAGTGTCTGGAGGGAGCTTAGTATGGTTACAACTACCAATTACGGTGTTTAAGGGTTGGAAGGATAAGGCAGAGTAATAATAATCGTACTAAGGTAAGTACTAAGTACTACGTACTAAGACTTCAAATATTATTTCAAATCCTTCCAATTTTTATTTATAATAAAAGACGTGATACAGAATTTTTGAGCAATATTCCGTTAAAAATGATATACCATCATTGCCTTATAACTTCACTGTTTGTTTTTGTGAGTGGACCAGACGGAGATGATTGCAACTCCGTCAGCAACATCGATACACATTATTACCAAACTTTGTGAAGGAAATCCGTAGGAGCCGTGGTGAGGATTCGAACCTATGTGGTGGATGTTCCCACGCACACTAGACAACTATAGACCGTCTAGTCAGTAGAGCGTGTGCCTGGGAACGCGCCATCGCATAGGTTCGATCCCTCAACACTGCTCCAACGGATTTTTTTACCGAAGCAGTGACGTTAGTGTGTATATGTATATGTGGACATTATGTATATGTATATGTGCACAGACTCGCCACACTCCACCATTTGATCAGCGTCTTAGGCTGGCCACCAGCCTCTGAAGGGCTATTAAGGTTACACAAGTACCGAATGACCCACTAACAAGTATACTTTAGCCCTGAGCATAGTCCAGGACTAAGGTAAACTGTACATATACACAGCGGGGTATACCTCTCTGTGTATATATATATATATATCCCTGCAGCAGTCTTGACACAAGTAGTGTATAAACTACCCATCGGCCTAACTACTCCTTACACCCAAGCGGGTGTGTTCACTCGCCGTGGGCGTCTTGGAAACACGAAACGCAGCCCTTCCACCTTCGATGACACAATTTGCATGCCAAAGAGAGAGAGAGAGGGAAGAGAGGGCTGGAGGGAGCCCGGGCCGGGGAAGGCGAAGAACATCAAGTCTTCCCAGGAAAAGTTCAAAGATCGACAAGGAAAGAAGCCCAAAGAAAAATGTCGTATGGTAAACGATAGAACTTTCTCTTCCTCCATCCTTCCTTCCCCCCCCCTCCCTCACTCCTTCAGTCTCTTCCCCATCCTTCCCCTCTTTCTCCTCTCTTATCTTTCCCCCTGCTACCCCTATTTTCCCTTCCTCCTCGTACCCGCCTATGTCCTCTTTCACGTTACCCTGCATCATTATTCCCCATTCCCTGTCCCCTGCATCCTCTATTTTCCCCTCACCCCTGCTACATCCCCCCTAACCCATCCCTCTGCTCCCCCCTCACACATCCCCTCCCCTTCCCCCACTCGTCCCTCGTATACATAACAAATAATGTGCATGTGCTTATTTAATACATATAATATATTTATACATAATTTCATTCAGTTCGATCATCGGTGATTTTAACTCTGGTCTCAAAAGTTCAAAAGCGTTGTTCTACCAGACCATAGATGACCTTTCTAAACTTCTTGACCTAAATGATGCTATAATCATTTGGGCTCGCCGCCTTTTCTTGTAATTACTTATAACCATCTGATGACCTTCCACCGTCATCATTTCATTATCTAACCCTTTATAAATTTCCGTTTCAGTCTGGCAATGACCCTTACTGCTTTGTGGAGTTCGCAGACCGGCAGTCTGCCGAGCACGCTCTGCACACCATGAACAAGCGGCTCTGTCTTGGAAAGGTAATGTGCCAGGTGTTTTTGTTGCAATATTGTTGCACGGGGGAAGTCTAGGGACCTACTCCTATTGGCCGTTATGATGTAAGGTGAGTGGTTAGTTGTTTGGGGCTGGTTGGATGGTGGTTGTATCGTGGAGCTTTGTGTCGAGGAGTAGGGTAATTAGTAGCGTGTGTGTGTGTGTGTGTGTGTGTGTGTGTGTGTGTGTGTGTGTGTGTGTGTGTGTGTGTGTGTGTGTGTGTGTGTGTCTCTCTCTCTCTCTCTCTCTCTCTCTCTCTCTCTCTCTCTCTCTCTCTCTCTCTCTCTCTCTCTCTCTCTCTCTCTCTCTCTCTCTCTCTCTCTCTCTCTCTCTCTCATTTACCACACTCACTCATTTTACACTCTCTAAATGTCTGTTTCCACATTCGCTCTTTTTCCCTTACCACTCTCACACACTCTCTCTCCACTCTCGGAATTTTCGTGTATTTAATAATACAGACTGGGGGGTCCATTCAGGTTTATTATACTGTATTTATATAAAATTATATATTTGTCTGTCCGAAGTAGGAGTCCAGACAAATGATATACACATTGGGGGCTAGCCTTATCCGACTTTCCAAGACATCATATCGAGGATAGTCGGGGTCGGCCCAAGTACCACCTTTTAACAAATACCTTCATCTATAGCGACCCCCAACGATTTTCCACGCAGTCTATAATCGGGAATTTGTTTTCCGTAGAGTATAGGCTTACTGCCACCACCTTACTCGAGAACGGTGAACATTAATTCATTCAGATTTGACCAAAGATTCGGGTTACAAGAATTTGGATTACCGAGCTGTTACAATATTAAATTTTCTGTGTGTGTGAGAGAGAGAAAGAGAAAGAGAGGAGAAGGGGACGTTAGGAGAGAGAGAGAGAGAGAGAGAGAGAGAGAGAGAGAGAGAGAGAGAGAGAGAGAGAGAGAGAGAGAGAGAGAGAGAGAGAGAGAGAGAGAGAGAGAGAGAGAGAAGATAACTTTTCAGTTTGGGCACTTACAACCACTTGGGCTGGACGATAGAGCGACGGTCTAACTTCATGCAGGTCGGCTTTCAATCCCCGACCCTTCAAGTGGTTGGGCAGTGTGGGGAGGGAGAGTATAGAAAGCAATAGGTTGACGAAAAAATCGAGGGAGTAAGGAACAAACGACTGGCTGAAATAGGAGGAAAGGAATAAACAGGAGAAAAAAAGCAGCACTTATAATAAGGAAATAAAACGACTCTGCAAGACAATAGATTGGAAGGAAAGAAGAACAAGTAATGCAACAAACAAATAAAGAATTAGGCAAGCAAGCAGACTCGTGTGGTTGGGAGTGGCGCCTGTGACCACCAACTCTGCCAACACCACAACCTGGATGCTAGATGTAGATGGCTATGCAAATCGACTCCTTTGCAGAAATTAGCGTTTTTATGTACCGGTTTTTATGTTCCTTGGCCGGGCCGGGCTTTTCCGGCCCGGCCCGGCCCGGCCAGGGAGGCCCGCCCCAGCCCAGTACATGTAGACGAGCACATATAGGGCAGTGAGTACATATGCGTGAGCAAGCACGTTTAGGCAAACAATAAAAGGCACGATATAACAAAGGTAGTTCAGTAAACTTCAGTTCTCCCTTCCAAGTTTCTTATAATGTTCCCTTCTTCACTCTTCTCTGTTCCCTTCTTCTCTTCTTCTCTCCTGTATAAATCCTGATTGATTGATAAAGATTAAGCCACCCAAGAAGTGGCACGGGCATGAATAGCCCGTAAATATAAATCCTGTATCTCGCCTGGATAAATACTGTACTTACTTCATATGTCTCCCAACACCTTCCCAACACCCTCCCAACACCTTCCCTCCCTCACTCAATGCTACCTTCAACACCTAACATTTTAGAGATTGAACAGAAACTTGTGTACTATAATTGCTAAAATGTGTTAATATATGTTATCAGGTATGCAAAATAGCTGTGAAATGGAGTAATGACCGCGCTCTACATTAACATATATTTAATCATAGAACAGTTCAGTTCTTCATTTCAGGTCTTGATTCGCTGATGAGACTTACGATTCACTAGAGCTGCCAATCACATAGTGTTAATGTGTATAGTTTCTGTTATGTTAATGATCTAGTAATGTTAACACCTACAGAAGAACCTTTGAGAAAACATTGGATCGTATTCTGGGATTATTATCATGCGTTCGTTCCTCACAATGTTCGTTCCTCACAATGTTCGTTCCTCACAATGTTCGTTCCTCACAATGTTCGTTCCTCACAATGTTCGTTCCTCACAATGTTCGTTCCTCACAATGTTCGTTCCTCACAATGTTCGTACCTCACAATGTTCGTTCCTCACAATGTTCGTTCCTCACAATGTTCGTACCTCACAATGTTCGTTCCTCACAATGTTCGTTCCTCACAATGTTCGTACCTCACAATGTTCGTTCCTCACAATGTTCGTTCCTCACAATGTTCGTACCTCACAATGTTCGTTCCTCACAATGTTCGTTCCTCACAAGGTTCGTTCCTCACAAGGATATTTACCTATGCAAGGGTTGTCTTATTTGTTTCAGCCACCTTATTGCGACTTATTCTCTGCTTATTACCTGTTATAACTCTTGTCTTGAGAAAGTCCACGACGTCTTGGTCGTTAAACACGCGTGGTACTGTTTTCATATATTGTATCCTCTGCTTCTTGGGGATAACGTCTCGTTTGTCTTGTTCCACTTAGCGATGCGGCGTGGGCCTTTCAACACAACAACCTATTACTTAACTTTATCAACCTTTATCATTCTTTAACTAAATCACTCGATCGTTGCTGATTTAAGTGTCCTTATCACCTGAAGCTGTCGACTCCATGCTTACTCCTTTCACCTTACTCTCATCGTCTGTCTATGCTGTCTAAATCTATAACAACAACACTTGATGTTGTTGTTATAGATTTAGCTACTCAGGACGAAGTGTCCATGTAGCACGGGCTATGGTGAGCCCGTAATATATATCACTTGATTTCTATCATATACATTATACTGCGGCTCTGTGCTGGCTTTCGGCCACTTACTGCAACTCTCTCTGCCAGAGTGACTTGAAACTTACCACTTTGTCTTGTTGTATAGTGACTGCTTCGTGGTTTCCAGCTTAGGAAGTGTCGTTCAGCCGCTTCTCCGGCTTCAGATCTCGTGAGACTGGACTCCACGTGTCATCTGAGACAGTTCATTCATATTCGACTGTTATGATCGGTTTGTTTACTAGGTTGGTGTAACTTATCGCCCCATTGACTGTTGTGGTCTAATGGGACTCTACAGTGGAGATTTTCCATTAACTATTTAGCATTTGCGACCTATTTTAACTAGTTGAGCCAAAAATCTCGATTCATATTAACTTAAAGATCACTGTTGACCAGACCACACACTAGAAGTTGAAGGGACGACGACGTTTCGGTCCGTCCTGGACCATTCTCAAGTCGATTGAGAATGGTCCAGGACAATGCTTAAAGATCACTTATGTTTACAGTGGTAACTTCATCCTCCGATAAGTCATTTAAGTTTCAATTAAATGCAGTTTGGAAGCCAATTTAGCTCTTACCTAACGTAAATTCAGTGCCATTTGATTTTGGCACTTGGATATAATAAAGCTATTGAACTTCCATTATTGGTGTGCCTCCCTGGGGCTATTTTGTCCCCAATTACGGCTCTAAATTTAGAGGCCATATTTTCCCTTACTATCCTCTTCCCTCACTCCCTTTCTCTCCTTTCCCAGACTTTCTCCTCTTCTTGAGAAAGTTCTTTCCCAGCCAATATAGTCTTATCAAGGACCATCTCAGGGGTAGAATTTTTTGGACACTTAGGGGAGTTTAGTGTTGGTAGAACCTCGCTGTTTCCTGCTACATCCATACCCATTCCCTTGATACCCTCGATTGATTGATAAAGATTAAGCCACCCCAAGAGGTGGCACGGGCATGAATAGCCGTAATTCATACCCTCCGTTTGTTGTTGTTATAGATTCAGCTACTCGGAACAAGTTCCAAGTAGCACTGGCTATGGTGAGCCCGTAGTGAACCTACCTGGCACAGGAGCGGGCTCATACCCTCCGCCCCCTCCTTCTTTTATATCCTCCACTCTTCCATCACCTCTTCCTCCTCCCCCCTTCCATCACCTTCACCCATCCTTCCAGCCTACCTCTCCCTCACAGAAGTATGTGTGTACATCTGTGCGTACATGTGCGTCAGTGTGCGTACTTTCATGCACGTGTGCACGTCAGTGTGTGTGTGCACGTTCGTGTGTACATGAATGCGAGCCCACTAACCTCTTTTTCATCTATTGTATTTGTTCTCTCTGTTACGGGAGGGTCGAGTTTCGGCAATTGGGCCCGGTATTTTGAGTCGTGTTTTTCAATTCAATAAAACCCGGACTGCTTACCTCCCACCACATACACTTGATACCTGTAACAGTTTGAACATTGTCTAATATTAGTACTCAAATAATCACCTTTAACTGGTCGGTATTTTCTCGGCCACGCTTCTTGCAGACCGGCGTTCGATTCCCGATGGTCCATTAAGTGGTTGGGCACCGGTCCTTCACTTCTCCATATCCCACCTCCTTGTCCTAGTATGTTAACAATTGATTTGTCATATTGTCACAGTCAGGTGGAGGGGGTAGGGGGTGGTGGGGGAGGGGTAGGGGGTGGTGGGGGAGGGGGTAGGGGGTTGAGGGGGAGTGGGAGTAGAAGGAGGTGGAGTAGGAAGGAGTGGAGGTGAAGGGAAAGGGAAGGGGGGGAAGGAAGTGAGAGGGGGAGAGAGGTAATAGAGAGATGGGTCGTATGGTTCTGTAAATCACACAGCACTATATGCAATTTCCTCTGTCACGGGAGGCAAGAAGGGGACATTTAGCTTACGAGTCCCTCCCAGAGTTACGAGTTTTGTCTTGGCGGAAAGTTGGCGATTACTTGTGAGTGAAACTGCATCTCTCTCTCTCTCTCTCTCACTCTCTCTCTCTCGACAAGTGAGTTTGTAACAGCGGATAGTAACGAAAGGGGTAGTAACACTAGGGGTTGTAACACTAGGGGTA